AAAAAAGATTAAGGAAAAACGCACGCTGAATGGTAGAGGACGGACCGCTCGAGTCACAGCGCGTGACATCCGCACTCTTTATTACTGACCCGCGCTGTGACTCGAGCGATCCGTCCTCTACCATTCAGCGTGCGTTTTTCCTTAATCTTTTTTAGTTAATATCTCGACTATTATTGCGAATTTCGCAAAACGGTATAGGACTTTTATATGCACATTAACCCATTCTACATAGGCATGCGCAAAACGGTATAGGACTTTTATATTCACATTAACCCATTCTTACATAGGCATGCCAGAATAGGGTCTCGTCAGATTTACAAATCGGGCCCTAACTTGCAAAAGTGTTACATCTCTGTACAGGGCCTATTCGGGCTTGCCTGAATGGCGCCTAGACAAAAATGGGGAAAAACTATCTAGGGCCTTTATAAGCCCTCTTTTAAATTTTCCGGGTATCGTTTCACGACGAATTATTTGCATCAATTGCACCAAGTACAAGTTTGTTAGTGCATATCGCTACGTGTATGTTTAAAACTTTTTTATTAATAATATTTTGTACATATTTCTTTGATTATTTGCTTTTTGTTTAATCATTATTTTTGTTACAGTTTTGTGAAAACTATTTCTTGGTCTTTTGCACAATCTTTGTGGAAAAACCGTGTATACAGATATTAAAAAGTTTTACTCTTATATAATATAACATTATTCTATTGAATAAATATTATCAGTTGACATACATTTGCACCACGTTTGGTAACGTTAATAAAGGTAAAACATTAATATTTATTAATATTTTATAATAAATACGATATATCTGATAATGAAACGTTGTTAGTATTTGATTATTATGATTTATTGTGTTTCAAATATCTGTAAATGTATGTTTATAATGTTTTAGGTAAAATGCTACTCAATCCGTTGAACGTAGTAATGCTGCTGTATACAATATTTCGTACTTTAAATTTGCCTCAAACTCCCATTATCGATGCCGAAAGGAATGTAAAATTAAAAATAGAAACCATATTACAAACAATCTATAAAGATACATTTGAAATAGAAGAAGAAGAATCACTCGATTTCCAAAATTCATTCGATATACCGGAAGCAGAAATTGTAAAAAATGAAGAAGAAGAAGATATATATTACGTTAAAGAAATGAAATGTGTCAACGATCAAATTCCAATAGAATATAAAAAAAGTGCAGTGGATTTTTGGATCAATGGGGATAAGAAAAGACCTCTCGAGAGCGTTAAACATAGATTCTGTAAAGTGCTACGCATACAGCAACTGCAACGATGGCAACTACAAGTGCAGAGAGGTGGGACATTTATGGAAAAAATGCTGAAAATTTCTTTGTATACATTACAGAAATTCCAAGACGGTCTGAAAAGAGGATCATTAATTCATGATATCAATATTACTCGATGGACCCTTAAAGCCTAAAAAGAAGTTAATTGTTCAAGATTTATAGCTTCAGAGGAATGAGTAAGACGTTTTAAAAGAAGACATCATATTGTATTGGGAAAAGTTACTAAATTTGTTACCAAAAAATCAAAAGAAGAAGTGGAAACAAAAAGCAATAGGTTTATTAGAAATGTTAAATATCATATTGAACGTTTTGGACTTGAAAATATTTACAATTCGGACCAAAGCGAATTCCAACTAGAACATCATGCTGGTCGTTCTTTAGAAATATAAGGTTCAAAAAGAGTAGAGTGCATTGTATAATCAATATAAATGAGTTACAAAATCGGTCATGTTTATTAGTAGAGTTCAGTCATAGATGTAATGAAATATGAATAACAAGTCATACAAAACAGTCAGGTTTTTACGAATGTGTATGTGGTGTGTGTGTGGGTGTGTGGGTGTGTGTGTGTGTGTGTGGGTGTGTGTGTGTGTATCCTTTTATAGAAACAATATATGTGAATATATGAGTACATTGTTGTGTATACATCTATTATTATTATTGTCCTTATTTATTGAAATGTATTTTGATTATATATTATGCATATCAGTACTAATCGCCTATTATTATAAAGAAGTTCGATGAATACATGTTGCGTATATTATCGAGTAGGTTAGGCGGCTACGGATGACGTTACAGTTATATGGGGATATTTCCACCTATTTTTCAACAAGTCCGTATGTCGGAAAATCATATTATTATATATGGTTGGATTCGGTATAAAATATACTTTTTTTGATAAACAAAATTTTAAATTTACAAAAAAAATTGAGTGGTAGAGATATGTTGGCAATCATTACATTTTTCAAATATCTGATTTTGTTGTTGCAAAGTATTCCTGAAACCATTTAATTTTTGGTTAGAAAATTTTTTTCTATCTCTAATACGTTTAACGAAACATGCTCCTAAAGAAAAAAAGCGATTTTTTCAAACGGGGGTTTTGTCCCTTAAAAGTCCGCCTGGGCACGTATAAAAAAATATGTGTCTTCTCTTTTGGTCTAGATTACAACATATTTCAAGCTCATCCAAATCGGAGGTAACCACCTACGTAGGGTTCCTTGTAAGATTAATATAATTGTATAAGAAATTTATAAAAATAATCTACGTTCTTACAAAAATTGCAGAGGTGAATTTGGAATATGTTATATATTGAGGAAAAAAGGGATACTCACCAAAATTTTATCCACATCTAAAATTCAATTTTAAATACAGACACGAAGTAAAATTTAACTAATTACAGTTACTAATTATAGTTACTGAATTGGAAAATAGTTGCAAATAGAACTACGTAAAAAACATTTGGATACATATTGTAATTAAATATATGTAACTAAATACATTACAACACTAAATAAAAATGTATCAAGCGGCCCAATGACAAAGGAGTATAAATGGATTTTATGAATTTAACACCCCAATTCGATAGTTCTGATTGAAGTTCCAGCTTGCTTTTAAAGAGAATATAGGGATACTTTTATATTCATAAAAAGAGCAATGAAACATTGCTCATTTTGTCATTGCACAATGACAATTTTGTGACTATAAATCTATTTCACCTTGATGTATTTATGTAAAATGCATATAACAATCATATTACGATCATGTACAACAATATTTAAACAAGAAAGACAAATTAAATGTTATATTTATTCTAAGAATATGCTTTTAATAAATAAACGCTAAAACTAGTGATTTAAAATGGTGATTTTGTCTGCCGATGTGTCAATGGTACAAGAGATCTATTATAAAATTTTTCGAATACTGATGAATTCTCTTAGGCTAGTCTGCAGTTTCTCTAATTTCATCAACACCAATATCTTCACGAATCGCCACAAAGAATTTGGCATGGCGAGTCGATATGGATTGTGAAGATAAAAGTGTCGATTCCTCTTTCAGAAAGAGTTAATTTTACTCACAGACTAATAGTTTGAGAATAGGTGCTTTGAATAGATTCCTTAAAAGTAAGAAAAAGAGCAGAAGGAGGTTCTGACAAACCATCTTCCGTTTTTTCAATATAAATTTTTAGAATTGATGTAACTGATAGAGTAAGTCATACAGTCTTCAAATTATAAAATATCGTTATCGGTTGATTTCTATTTGCTCCGTATTTTATACAATCAATAATTTTGATAATAATTGAATCCATAAGAAATTGCATATATTGAATCGTTTTATTAAAGATAATGTTTGTACACTTAGTATTGAGACTAATATTTAAAAAATTGCTAGTTTTTTAATAAAAAGTTCCAAATTTTAACTCATGTGGCCACCAAAAAGTTAAATAAGAAATAACAGGAGCTAGATCTCAAATTAATGCATATTTCGGTTTTAAAGCAAATGCTCCTTTAAAGAAATGCTTTACTCTATTGTCAGAATCCAAATTTATATTAATAATTAATGATAGTGCTGACCTATATGAATTGAGAATTCCATATGTAGCAAAATTCTGCAATTGTAAAGATAAAAAACTTAATATTAATCATATACTTGGTTGAAACAAATCAATCCCACATTCTCTTTCACTACAAAGAGACTACCATAATTTAATAAACCTGTTATGTATAAAACATCGGTCTTATACCTAATACATTTTAGTTGCTACAGTATTTTAATATTGTTACTTTTACAGAAGTTATTCTCACTTGGCTTAACTTTCTGATATATTTTTGAAGATACAAGTTCTAATAACGATATTTTATCTTAATGTTTTAATTTTATTTAGGCGAGGAAGCGCGTACATTTGGAACTTTTCTTTATCCTTTTTTAAAAGAGCAATTTTGTATGTAACCGATTACTAGCAAGCTTGTGAGCAGTACCTCGCTATCGTAACTATTTGATGCGCTCGTAACTTCCTCGGAAAGAACGTGTTTAAATCGTTCTACAAACGGGTATAAACTGCAGAACGACTTGAACACATTTTCTCGACGTATTTCGAGATGCTTCCGACGTTTTATGAGAGAAGCTATCTTATGAGAATTACTCAAAAACAAATTTTTTCATTGCACGTCGGACTATATTTAAAAATACGCGAAATAAATCATGTTCAAACCATTTTTCAAGCGAGCGTGCGCACGTCATAAGTTATTCGAGTCAGACTCGTTAGCACCCCGAGATGAATGCACGGTTAATAAAGTGCACTTTAATTACTCATTACAAGGTGAGATAAGTGTTTATGGGCGAGTTCTCGTTTTCCTTCGAGGACTCGACTGCGGTCGGAACATTGCTTGAACATGGGCTCCTTAAGTTCGACTCTTTCGACACCTCACCGCGGATGATCGATCCCGATAACGGATGATGATAAATCAAACGTGCGAGACCCGATGCGCGATTCGTATCACACGAGCGTTTCCGCGAATAACGGCAAAACGAGACACGGAGCGCGCGGCTGCGTACGTGTGTAACACGCATACATTCACTCGCTCATTCATTCACGTACGCACGCACGCATGTATGTATGTAAATCCGTTTAACGCTGATCTGTCAAAACGAGGCGGCAATGGGACGACGAGAAGGAGAGAGAGACAGAGAGAAGATGAGGAAGAAGAGCGGAACGGGACGCGGGGAAGAAATGTTTTGTCCCGGCACCAGCTATGTATGTGTATGTGTGTATGTTGTAGATACGAATAATCGTGTTTCGAATTCGGGCTTTGCCGCAGCCGTGTGCGCGCTCACTCACTCTGTCTCTCTCGTATTCGCTCTTGTATGTCCATCTTTCTCTCTTTCTCTCTCTCGTACTCTCTCTCCCGCTATTACCATTATTATAAGTTGATGTGACGTGACGTAATGGGAGTTAGAGCCGTATGAATGGGCATAGAGCAACAAGTTGCCACTAAAAACTGGGAGTGAGTTCGTGAGTTGAGTTCTGCTCGTTACACCTCTATATGTAGTTCTTCCTTCCCTATACTATACGCCCGCTCCCTCTCGCGTCCCGCACGCTGTATACCCCACCGCGGCCCCGTTATAAACCCTCCGGCTTTTAAAGTATTCTTTTTAAAGCGGAACTGTCCTAACACACAGACGTCACCGAGTCGTAATATTCCGCACGAGTGGATGCGACGACAAATCTTTGCGGTTCTCTTTTTCTCTTTATCGGCCCGCCCGCCCAACTCTCCCTTCTTCTTTCCACTCATCGCCACGCCGCTCTTTTCCTCGTTCCTCCTTCGCCTTCCGTCTTCCTCCTCATCTCCCTCCCCCTCTTTGCCATCTGCATTTCTTTTTCAACTGCCGTGCAGTAGCGCTTACGCGCTCGCGCGTCGTGTCTGACTTAAACAAATCCGAAGACAAACACGGAGTTGACCGTGAATCCGCGGCAACACGGCAATAAAAGCTTTCCCTCTCTCTTTCTCTCTCTCTATCTTCGTGTGCTTTTACCTTTAAAAGTTCCACCCGTTCGCTCACCTTGGAACTACGGAAACACTTTCACCTCCTTTTCCTCAGCGGAGAAACGGATATCAGAGTGCGGGGGTATGACAAATGTTTTCAAGAGCAGTGTCTCGCAGTGTCAATAAAATATCCGCGGTAGTTTGAAACTTTTTCTTCCCATCTTTCTCTCTCTCTCTCTCTCTCTCTCTCTCCTTCTCTCTCTTTCTCTCTGTTCCCTCTCTATCTTCTTTCTCTCCTCTCCCCCCTTCTCGTTCTCTCTCCATCTTTCTGTCTCTCCGCCCGCCGCTGCGCACCGATCGATTTAAACTCGTGTCGTGCTTCTACGCACCGCTCACACGTGTAAAATAACTCAACCTTAACGCTCTATATACGTAATCCGAGTAATTAAATAATCAAACGAGCGCACGACGTTTCTCTTTCGCACGTTTCACCCTGTCTACTGATTAAGCGGTGCACATATCGTGGATAATTACCACGTCGTCTATCTGTTTAACTTTTTTTCTGTCCAACCGATTTTTTCGGTTCTTACGCTTTAAATATAAAATAAATTTTTTTATATTTAAAGGAGACACTAATTTTCCATAATCATCATCATAGTCATAATAATCATATTCATCATCATCATAATAAAATATACAAAATATAATCATTATAATAAACTATGCTTATTTCTTTGATATAAAGAGGTAAAGTATGTGATACTACCTCTCATTTTATACAAACTCAAATTTATACCAACCCTTAAAATGAAGGAGGGGGTCATTTGTGTCTGTGCACTTCCAATAACTTTGCACTTCTCCATCTAAACAGGTATACAGATATACGTTAAGAATACGTACAGCTTGCACTAAGGTGACCCCAGAAATGTTGTTTAGAGTTAGGCAAAGTTTTGTAAAAAGAATTAATAAGTGTTTAAACGTTAATGGTCAACAGTTCGAACATTTAATAAAATAAAACAGAAAAACTATG